CTCCTTGCTGGCCATCCAGGTATGAGTAAGTCTATAGATCATATCCAGCGTTACTTCTGGTGGCCTCAAATGACTAGAGACATCAGACAATTCGTATCAACATGCGAGATTTGCTTCACTTGCAAATCATCCAAAGGTCGGCCATATGGTCTGTTAGCAAACCTCCCAATTCCAGGTACTCCCTGGGAAAAGGTCTCCCTAGACTTGATTGTTGAGCTACCATCTTCTCGGAATCATAATACTGTCCTAGTGGTAGTTGATCTATTCACCAAGATGAGCCATTTCTTACCTTTAAAAGGGTTACCCAACGCTAGAGAGACGGCTGATGCCTTCCTAACCAATGTAATTAAGTTACATGGAGTGCCGTCCGTAGTCATCTCGGATCGTGGGGCCCAGTTCGTTTCTAGATTCTGGAAGGCCATATGCAACCGGTTGGGGATTGACCAAGCCTCATCCAGCGCACATCACCCTCAGACGAATGGGAAAACGGAGAGGGTAAACCTGACCTCAGGAGGCGTGAACCCCCTCACTACGTAGTCGGGGATCTTGTCTGGTTATCTACCAAGAATATTGTCCTCAGTACTCCCTCCAAAAAGCTTAGTCGGCTTTTTATCGGACCATACCCTATAGAGAAGATCATCAATCCGGTGGCGGTCCGGCTTACTCTACCACACACCCTAAAAATACATTCTACATTTCATGTCTCGCTCCTGAAGCCCCACAGGGCCAATACTTTTCGTGATAGAACGCCTCCTGTCCCTCCACCTGTTTCGGTTCAGGGGGAGCAAGAGTTCGAGGTGGACCAAATCCTGGACGCTCGTTTCCACAGACATAAACTGCAGTACCTCATCAGGTGGAGGGGGTATGGACCCCAGGAGGACTCCTGGGAAAACTGTGAAGACGTAAATGCTCCTAAATTGTTGAGGACCTTTCTTTCCAGACACCCGTCCAAACCTTCTCCCCGCAGACTCCCCGGTGGGGTGTCCTTAAGGAGGGGGTACTGTTATAGATTCGCCCGGCGCGTCCCCTCATTCCCGCGGCGTGCCGTCTCAGTGGTGACGTCACGCCGAGCTCCTCCCACGGTGCGCGGCCCCGCTCGTAAAACTGCAGCTGTTTCATTCACTTGGCGTTCTCTTGTTGTAGAGCGTCGAGTAACGAACAGTGAACCCGCCAGCTCTGCCCTGAACCTACACTCTCTGATACCCTGCTGCCTGGAGAGTGCTACGCCGCTGACACAGCCATTGACCCAGATCTGAGGTCCTGCATATCACTGCCAACCAGGAAGCCTTACAAATCCCCTGCAGTGTGAACCACATCTAAGCGCAAGTACCTGGGGTCTGATAAGACAGACATACCTTTGCTTCAGCTGCTTGGCATATCTGCACACCTGTGATCTCTGCTTGTTGTGTCTATCTGGCATTATATCCTAACTGTATGGAACCTATATGAACTCAATATAAAGCTCTCCATAGTGAATAACTTATGGCAATAGAGATCCGTTAGACCACATGTGATATCAACTCAGTGTGCATACTTACTACTGTTGAGCCTATCAAACCACCATCTGTTATACAAGTAGCAACTGCTCTTTCATACCTTGATATCGGTGTACATATGTATTAATGGGAACTCTACCAGGAGCTGATGCTCAAGAATAATCATATTGATAATTGTGATATATGTCAGTACTTGCTTAATAGGCACCACTCAGAATTTAGTCAAACTCCCCCCTCATCCTAAATAATAGACACCTTGTACAGGACCCTTCAACCCTACAGAGGCATGTTACTAGGACAGGGTCAGGTGGCATATGATGCGTGCGGTATCCCCGCCGCACTGAGTGTACCGGGGAACCACCCACTGAACCACCTTTTCCTAAGCCAAACCCTCTTACTTCCGCAGCTGAGATCCAGCATACCCGGCCGCCTTGACACAAGGTTGTCTCTTTGCGAGCCGTTGTGGGCGGACAGCATACCGACAGATGGATCCTCAAGATAATCAAAACAGGTTATCGGATAGAGTTTTCCAGAAGGCCCCCTCTGTCTGTCTTTGTTCAGACCAGGATCCCCTCCTCTCCAAAGAAATGGGGTTGTTTGCAAACCTATATCATAGAATTGCTGCATTCTTGGGCCATCGTTCCGGTGCCAGTGGCGGAAAGGGGCCTAGGGGTTTATTCTCCTTTGTTTTTGGTGAAGAAGGCTTCCTGAAAGTTCTGACAATAGTTGGGCCTGCCTGCATATACCAATATTCCGCAGACATCAGCATTTCATACGTTTTATGGTGGGCTCCAGGCACTTCCAATTTTGATGCCTTCCCTTCTGCCTCTCCACGGCTCCAAGGACATTCAACAAGGTTCCGTCAGCACAAATAGCTCTCCTAGGGATGACAGGGATCCAAACTTACCACTACTTGGACGATTTACTGCTCCTTGCATCCTCCACCAGTCAGGCCGAAAAGCATCGAGATCGAGTGATCCAATCCCTCACGAAGTTTGGTTGGCTGTTGAACAAATAAAAAGGTTCCATCCCAGAGCCTCGAATACTTGGGAATTCTGTTTGATTCTACGGTAGTGAGAGTCTGTCTTCCTCCGAGGATGTTGTCACGGGTTCAAGAGGAAGCCTGAGCGATAATGCGAACTCCGCTGCTATCTGCGTGGCAGGCCATTCATGTCTTAGGTCTCCAGGAGTCAACGGTACCAGTGGTTATTACAGTGCAATTTTTTTGATCAGTGGGATGGCTTGTCGCTTGTACCTTACCCAGCAGATTCGTCTTCCTCCATTGGTTCGCCAGTCTCTGATATGGTGCATGTTAGTGATGGGCTGGGTTCGAACTCAAACCTAATGCAAGTCAATGGGGGTCGAACTTTCAAAAATAATTGTCCCGTTTAAGAGGGCTTATATGCAAGTTATTGGCCATAAAATGTGTATGGGGGTCCGGGTACTGCCCTGGGGGGACAGGAATCAATGAAAAAACAAACAAAATACACAGTTTTTAAAGGAACAGTGATTTCAACATGACTTAGAAGAGGGCCCCCCCCGAGATAGTACCACTCCTTCCCTGACGCGGAGGCCCCTTTAAACGGCCGCCGCAGCAGCGACCCGACCTGTCATTTCTCTCCTCCCGGCCGCTCTGTAGCTGCAGCGGCCGGGGAGGAGAAAAGTCGTTCAGCTGCCTCTCTGATGCCCGATTCAGTAGTCGGGCTCCTTGGCAGCAATGTGCACCACCAATATTGGTTGACAGAAGGAGAGAAGAACAGGAAGAAGACTGGGCCACCATGCTGACTGGAGGCTCCACAGGAACAGGAGACATCGCTGCTTCCCCACCGCCCACCAGGAGAGGAAGAAGGCAGAACATCAGACCATCTATATCTACTGTAAGTCTCTGTACTGTGCATTCCCCCCTGTACTGTGCGTCCCCCTCTGTACTGTGCGTCCCCCTGTACTGTGCATCCCACCTCTCTACTGTGCGTCCCACCTCTCTGTGCGTCTCACCCCTGTACTCTGCGTCACATCCCTGTACTCTGCGTACAACCTTTTCATTATGGGTGGAAGTGGGGGAGGGGCCTCACGTTTGAGTTTCGCCTAAGGCCTCACAAAGTCAAGAGCCGCCTCTGTCCCGCAGAATGTGCTGCAGGCACCGCCGGGCAGCACATTCTGCTGTGTGAGGACCCTCTCCACTTAGCCCCGCCCCCTGGCCACGGAAGCAAGGAGAGAAAGAAGGCCCTGCAGGAGACGGAAGGTAAGTCTGGAGTGGGAAGGGGGGGATGCTGGTGTAGTGGGATTCTGTAGTGCAGACTTCTATTATAATGTATTGCTAGGACTTGTAGTCCTGCATAGCTGGTGGTATTCTGCATTGCTGTATGATGATTATACAGTAATGCAGAATAGCTCCAACTATGTAGGACTACAAGTCCAAGCAATGCATTATATTATTAATTGGGATGCACCAGTGCTAATACTGGGCATTTTCACAAGTACTCATACTCGTGAAAATGCCCGATACTAAACGCAGATACCGGTGTTCTGTCGAGAATGCTGGCGTAGTCGAATTAGCCAACCTCAGCATCTGCGCTTGCGCACAGACCAGTATTATTGAGGAAACCGGGATTTATTCACAAAGTATCTTGTTTAAATTAGTTAATATCTTGTTTACTGTAAATCGTTAATTGTGACTGTTAATAATATTCCACCCATCATTTCCTGCCATCCATCATTTCCTGCCATGGACGGTATATTATTAACGGTCACAATTAACAATTACAAAGGAGTACTTTGTAAATAAATGGTGGTTTTCTCTGTAATCCCGTCTGTACGCGAGGTCCCATGCTTGCTGGGGACCTCGGCAGCCTTCCTGTTAACATGCGGTGCCATGGCGGTTGGGGGTGGGGGGGCTTCATGGTTTCTTGCACCGGGGCACTGAAGGTTCTAGTTACACCTCTGGCTTTAAGAGTAAAAAACATTTTTTATTTTTTTTTCCCTTTTAAATGTCAACGTTTTGCTGCAGCATGTTCTAGACATCATACAGATCCGCTACTTCACAGGCAGTTTATGGGGACCCCCCAGACACAATATTTGAAAAAAAATGTCATTTTTATTCTTACCCTTTAAGTCATGTAACAATCACTGTTCCTTTAAAAACGTTTTTTTTTTATTGATTCCTGTCCCCTAGGGCAGTACCCCATACACCTTTTATGACCAATACCTTGCATATAAGCCCTCTTAAAGGGGACAATCATTTCTGAACGTTCGACCACCATTGACTTGCATTGGGTTCAAGTTCGAATTCAAACTTTTCGGCCGTTCAAATACGAACCGAACACGTCTGTCCCACCCATAACCTGAAGCAACAATAGCGTTCTCTTCACAGCTCTGCCTGCCCCCTTCAAGTGTGTGTCTCTCTGCCTCTCACCCCCACACATTTAGATACGAGATGTGTTGCACTGCCTTGTTTTTCTGTACCTTGAATAGGTAAACATTATTGTTGTATGTTGCATTGCTTACCTCTCGTATTCTAGGCTCCCAGATATGTGATGTGTTGATTGGCAGTGTACCATTTCCATAAATCTCCTCTAAACAAAGTTAAAAAAAAATAGGTCAGAATCTTGTGCTCCTATTGCGCTGAATGTCTCTTGATAAACAGTCACATCAGTATAAAAGACCCAAGACCTGCAGCCCTATTGAGAATAGGGAAAATTCCACATTCTGAATGAAATAAATATTTTAAAGAACAATGAGCAGAGATCAAAGCACAGTAAAAAAAAATTATTGTAAAATTTATAAAATGCAATGGAGAAAATTAGCTTATCGAGAAACCTGGAACAGACTAGCGTCAGACAGCTCTTCATGGCCAATGATTAAGGTGTATGAAAAAGGAGAGTGTACGCAGATTGATGCTTCTAGCAAAAGTTCTCTTATCACTCACCCACTTATTTGAAAACCCAAGCTTTTTGCGATACAAGTCTACACATCTTTCCCAAATGAAGACGAAAGTAACATGGCCAGATGCTGCAAGGACTAACGCCACAGGGACATATTGGGCGATACCCGACCTCGGACACTCCAGAGCACTCGACTGTACGTGGTGTAGCTTCGTCATCCACCCGGCTGGAGAAGAGAGGAACGAGCTGAACATCCCAATGTCCGGATGGAGAAACTAATCAGAGCACTACCTACAAAGACTGAACTTGTGGAGATGTTTGAGACTCGAACACTCTTTGAAGGCAGACATATTCATTACGCGGAGAGGTTACCCACCTGTTGCAATGGGTTGAGAAATCCGAGACTCGCTTAGAGCCAGTTCACACCAGATGCAGTTGTGATGCAGTCCGTTCAGTTTGACAGCTGCATCACAATGCTTTCCAATGGGATTTCTGGTGCTCTGTTCACACCAGTGCAGTCTGTTCCGATGCAGTCAGAAAAAATACTGCTGGTTTCATTTTAGCGGCACCTGATCGCACTGGAACACATCAAAACCGCATGCAAACGCACTGTACTGCACCTGAAAGCACATTTTAAAAAAGCATAAAAATTGCGGTAAAAACTTGACAAAACGCACAGTGGCGTAACAACTGGGGGGCAGCCGGTGCGGCTGCCCCAGGCGCAGAGCCGAGGGGGGGCGCCGGCCGCCGGCACCCCCCTCTCGTTTAATTTGCCACTGCATGTGTCCCTCACTAAACATGGCCATAGTACGCTCATCTAAGATGAGATTTGTAACAAACTGCTTGCAGATGGTCTCGATATCCAAAATTGTTATGGACAAGGGTATGACAACGCTGCAACAATGGCTGGGCATATCAGCGGTGTACAAAAGCGCATAACCAACATAAATCCTACAGCCTTTTTCATCCCTTGCAACAACCATTCATTAAATTTAGCTGGTGTACATGCAGCTGGTACAACCACAAATTCTACAAAATTTTTTGGTACTCTTGAAAGGTTGTACACATTTTTTTCTAAGTCTACACACAGATGGGATGTACTGACCTCCTCTGTGCCAATCAGAGTTAAAAGAGTGGCAGACATGAGGTGGAGTTCCAGGCATGATGCAATTTCTGCCCTTGCTCAGCAGATAGATGCTATAATTGACACATTAGAAGAGCTAAGAGATGGCTCCAATGAAACGGCAGACACCAAAAATGACGCTGGGTGCATCATTGCAAGTCTTTTGAATTATTCTTTCTTGGCATATTTGTACTTGTGGAATCCTATTTTAAAAGAAATCAATGATGCTCAACTATACCTTCAAAAATCTGGCCTGGCCTTAGATATGTGTCATGTAAAGATGGATTCTTTGGCTAAATTTTTTTCAGAAAATCGTGACACTTTGGTTAAAGAGGCCAAGGAAAAGGCCCAAACAAGTTGTCGCACCAACAACATATCGTGGGAAAGACGCATTCGCCGGCGAAAGCAAATGCCTGGGGAAAATAATGCAACAGATGCTGGTCTTACATTGCTTGAAGAAATTGAGCGAGAGCAGCTGGAAACTATTGATCGGCTTCATTTTGAAATTGTAAGGCGAACAGAACAGCTAAAAGAATATGCCAACCGATTTGGGTTTTTGCATGTTTCTGTCCTGCTTAATGCCAATGACCAAGATCAGTATATTCGAAATCAAATAGAGCATGTCTGCTCTGTTTACCCAGAGCTGAATGCTGAAGAGATGCTGGAAGAAATTAAACGATTACAAAGACAGCTTGCAACTTTTAAGTCGGCTACACCTGAATTTGAAAATGAAATTAGAGAATGGGGCGTTTTAGAGCTTTTACAATTCATTGTAAAATGGCGTTTAGTTGAAAGTTTTACCAACATATCGGTCGTGCTTAGAATATTTCTAACAGTTGCAGTGTCCGTAGCCACTTGTGAGCGGAGTTTTTCAAAGCTCAAACTCATAAAGTCATACTTGCGTTCTACGATGGATCAAACAAGGCTTTCAAACTTGGCTATACTGTCAATAGAAAATGAGCTGTCGTCAAGAATTAATTTTGACAAAGTCATTGACCGCTTTGCCACAGAAAAATCTCGCATAGTTAAAATATAGTTGAAAGGTTTCTTTTTTTGTTAAGGCTCTACTATTGCAATATTCAGGTTTATAAAAATCTAGTATGTGGCAACACATGTATCACATCAGTGGTTTGAATTTTCATAACTTCCTAAAACATTCATAAAGTCGTCATTAGTTATTTTTTTTCTATCGTATTAACAAGTGTTTATTCATAAAAAATGTAATGCTCTTTATCAACATTAAAAATGTAATGCTCTTTACATTTGTTGAATTATCCTTATAACCAGAGTGGATGTTTATATAATGGGGGGGGGCGGAAAAAAAATTCTGCCCCGGGCGCCCATAACTCTGGTTACGCCACTGAAAACGCATAGCACTGAAGCTGCGCAGATGAACGCAGTTATGGTGTGAACTAGCCCATAGACACATATGCTGCCGCCATCTCTGAAACTCAGGCCCAAATTAACTCTACAGCTCAGATTCAACGGACGTTACTATCATGGCAAGAGGATCATGAGAATCACAGACGCTGCAATAATCTTAGAATACGCGGTCTACCTGAGGCCACGGATAACGTGGATCTTGCTGAGACTGTACAGGGAATATTTCATTCCATACTAGATAAACCGGCTATCACGCCACTTGTGTTTGATCACTTACACTGAGCTAGGTGACCGCGGGGTCTTATTTTGGAGGCCCCACGAGATGTTATCTGTCGCCTCCATTATTATATGAACAAAGAGGAAATCCTGCATAAGCTGAGAACAACTACAAATGACAGAATATGGAGGGAAGAAAATAACAATTTTCCCTGATCTGGCTAAAAAGACATTAGCCCGCCACCGTGCCCTTTGTCCAGTATTAGAGACACTCCGTAAGAAAAATATCACATATCACAGGGGATTTCCATCCTGCCTCATAGCATGGAAACACAGTAAGTCGTTAATTCTGCTCTATCCAGAGGATCTTCCTTTCTTTGGCGAGGCTTTGGACATTGATCCTTCTCCTTTGCCAGAATGGCTGAAAAAGATATCTACAATGGCTATTTTGTCAGATAAATCATGGAAACTTGTTTGGATAAATCATAATCCCTGTTCACTTCTGTAAGAAGTAACATATTAAAAAAATTTCTTGCTTTATTTCTGAGGCCCGGCTAGAATATTATAAGACACTTAATATGTGTCTCTAACACCAAATTTAGTGGATATGTTTGTAGGAAAGAGGTAGCAGACCACAAGATTAGTATATAACTTATAGATCTCGGGATGTGATATTTTTAAGCAATATAAGAGACCAATGGTCATTTTCAAAATTAAGAGGATTATTAACGAAGGAGCTGAAGGATCTAGCCGTAGCTTCAGCTGATCCTTCGGCTCACTTCGGCCGCCGTAGCCCTTCAATTAAGTCAAACCGAAGGGCTGCTGTACAGGCTATTCACAGCCCGTACAGGCCGTAGTCACAGCCGAAGCGGGGAAAGCGGTCTGCGAAGCCAACCGTTCTCCACGCAAATGACAATTGGGCGGAGCCAGCCGTGATGTCACAGCTGGCTCTGCCCAGTTGTTGTTCTTCATTGACAGATCAGCATCCTCAGGTTATTTGAGGACAATGGGCTGTCATCAAATGACAACTGGGTGGAGCCGTCCGTGATGTCACGGCCGGCTCCACCCAGTTGTTTTCATTTGTCGGGGACCTGCAAGAAGACTCTGGCAGGTGCCAGCCAAATTTAAACAGTTGGGCGGAGCTAGCGGTGATGTCACTTGTTTAAATTTGGCCGGCATCTGTCAGATTCTAAATTCTGCGGTGGGAGTTTGTCGCGTGTGGTCGGGTCAGCAGGCGCTAGGTTTTTTTAATTTCCCAGAGTCGTCGTCATTGTGGACAACGCTGGACGTCATGATTGACCCTGGATTACATTTTTGGGAATTTTTTTCGAAATAAAAAGGACACAGTCCTTTGTTGTGTTTTTTTCAATTATAGGATTTTGTTTAACCCCTTCGTGACTGACGACGTACAGTGTACGTTGCCAGCATCGGGGCTGTTTAAACAGACTCCCGGTGACTTTTGCCGCCAGGACTCTGTTTAAACTTGTAGAGCCGACTGTCGGCTTTACAACAGAAGCGATCCTGGCGACTTACCTGTCGCCAGATCGCTTCTGCGTCCCGAAGAAGGGGCCGCCCCCCCCCGAATCTTAGAATACGCGGTCTACCTGAGGCCACGGATAACGTGGATCTTGCTGAGACTGTACAGGGAATATTTCATTCCATACTAGATAAACCGGCTATCACGCCACTTGTGTTTGATCACTTACACTGAGCTAGGTGACCGCGGGGTCTTATTTTGGAGGCCCCACGAGATGTTATCTGTCGCCTCCATTATTATATGAACAAAGAGGAAATCCTGCATAAGCTGAGAACAACTACAAATGACAGAATATGGAGGGAAGAAAATAACAATTTTCCCTGATCTGGCTAAAAAGACATTAGCCCGCCACCGTGCCCTTTGTCCAGTATTAGAGACACTCCGTAAGAAAAATATCACATATCACAGGGGATTTCCATCCTGCCTCATAGC